GGGGTTCATGCTGGGAGCCTGAAAAATCAGGCAAGGCGGCTGAGATGGAAGCAGATCTGATTGCTCTTTCCTTGGGGAGTGAAAAGGATAGATTTAGGGGAGAGATGGCATTTGATCAGGGCCAGGAATGCTGGGTAGGATTTGAGTTGGCAGAAATGAAATGGAGGTGTATGTATGTGTGTGGGTGGGTAGTCGGGGGAAGAGTCTGATCAGAGGCAAATGGCATGAGCCATTGGTATGGTTGGCAAAAAATGCATAGCTGTTGATGACAAGAGAAATCGTCTGTACCTGGTTAGGGTGGGTAACATTAAAAAAGTGAGGAGAGTGGCATCAGGCCCATGCCCTTGGCCCTTGGCTACCTCTTTAAGAGCCCTGGTTTAAAATTTCCTTTGCTGAGCTCTATAGAGCCACTGAATTAGTTATTACTACAGAGAAAGCTCTGTCCCTGGAGGAAGAGGACTCAGGTCTGTGACAACCAGTCTTTTCTCTTTCTAGCCTGGAGCTTCTTCCTATGATCTGGGCTCATGGGGAGGAAGGCTAGGTAGAGCTTGTCTCGTCATCTGATTAGGTCTTCTTGGGAGCTTGCCTCTTTTCCTGCCAGGTAGCTCGTTTTTCCTTCTTTCTTTTCCTTCCCCTTTCCTCCCCTCTGCTCCCTTCTCCTCCCCTTCCCTTCCCTCACCCCCTCTAAAATATAGTTAGGAAGAAAGAGGTATCAGTCACGGGAACCTCAGGCACACAGGTGTGAGGGGCAAATATCTTTTCTGCCTTCGAATTATTCTATCTCCCATTAACCCTAGGTGAGAAGTGGATTTATTTTCTGATCTTAAAATGCTCATGGAAGTTATAGAATTTTCTCTCTTCCTACCCCTAACATGAAGCAACAATGAGTCCTCAACAGACTTATAAGCATGTAATAACAATTATCAGAGTTCCCAGGCGAGAAGCAAGTGTTGTCTGACTTTCAGAAAGCCTCTCCCTCCACAGTGCTCAGGGAAGACCCCTATCACAAGTATGCCCACCCTCCCTGCTGCCCATCCCAGGGCACCCCACCCCTCAGGAAATGGATAATGAGATACAGTATAAAATTTATTTCAAAATGCAAAATGGTGGTCATAATAATAATAATAGTAATAATAATATAAAAAGCATCTCCTTCCTCCCTAGTGCAAAATGGTACATGCATTTAGATAACTCAAAGATACACAGTTTTGGACATGTTATCACAATGCAGTGCTGCACAGCAGCAAGACTCAATCCCAGACTCCTTTTGGCGGATCCCTGTGGTAGGTCAGTTCTAGATGTCAGTTGCTTCTCCGAAGTGAGTGGGAACAGCAGACAGAGCATGGCTCCGGCTCTCTCCCAGCTGAGGCAGGCTTGTGCGCGCTCAGTCTCTGTCTCTCAGTCTCTCCGTCTCTTTCTCTCCGTCTCTCCCGCCCTCGGCTGCTCTCCCAGGGCTCCTAGGAGGCGTGCTGCCGGTTGGAGAGGGCCCGGCCGCAGAGGACGGCCTCCTGCTGCTTGCCTTTCTCCTGCAGGGCTTGCGTCCGGAGAGCCTGCCGCTCCCGGGCGGCCCGCAGCTCGGCGGCCGCTGCCTGCTCGTCCCGCTGGCGGCTGGCGGCGGTGAAGGGGCTGCACACGGTCTCCACCAGGCCGAGCAACACGCCGAAGAGCGCCAGCACGCTGCCCACCACGTACAGCTTCACCAGCTTCCCCCTGGGCTTCTGGGCCATCATCTCCTTGGCCAGAGGAATCAGCTCCTGGACCGTTTCCATCTCGGCTCTGGGCTCTTGGGGGCGGGAGTGACCTGCAGGAGGAGCGGAGCAGGACAGGGGGACCTTAAGCCACCGAAGCGGGGCTGCGGCTTCCCAGGCGCCCCTCCCTCAGCTTTCCTGGGGAGGGCCCGTAGGAAGGCGGCCTCCCCGGGACGCGGCGCCAGCCCCAGCCCGGATCCTGCGCCCCCGGCGGGGCTCACCTTAGTGGCGCAGCGCGAGCAGGAGGCAGCGCGAGCTGGGGGCGGCGGCGGTCAGCGCGTCCGTCTGTCCGGCAGGCCTCGGCGTTCTCCTCCTTCTCGGCAGCTGCGGCTCTTCCAGATGGAGACTCCGCAGCTGGCGTCTTATCACCTTCCCCGGGCTCGCTTTATATCTTTTTTCCGAGACCCGCCTCCTCGGCTTCCTGGCC